CTGCGAGATGATAACCATTTTTTTTTTCTTCTTCATAATTAGTTTAATCCCATAAATGGTGCTTGTTATAGACCATAAGTAATATAGAGACATTTACTAGTCTCCAATTATTTGCGCGAGATTTATCACATTTTTCTTTCATATTTATTTATTTTTAAATTATGTCGCACAAATCAAAAGTCTTACTCGTTAATCTCGTTATTCGATGGAATTGTTAATTGGATTTTGCTTGATTTTCTTTCCGCCAGGCTGGTTATTTAAATTCTGAAGATAATGTTAAGTGTATAGGCAGGTAAAGGTGTGAAATAGCAAACCTAGTTAGGATCAAGTTGATAGCACCTACTGTGCTCACATTGCTTATTTATCCTATGTGTGGGATGCGGATCAGGCAGTTTTTTTTATGGTTTTTTTTTCTTCAACTCACTCTCATTAACTTTTACTGCGAGATAGAGGAGCGTTATTCTTGCGAACGTTGGAATATGATTAAACTGGAATATAAATAATGTTTTTAGACGCGTATAAAGAAAATGCTTTGTTAATGTCCATTCAATAAGATGTACAGGTGAGTGCGTATATAAATACATACGAATTCCTCTTCTGTAATTATATACGTATCAGAAATTTATAGTTATTACTGATAATAATAAACTAATAATTGGATTTTACTAGTCTTCTTACTCTTTCCTTCGGCGCACTAAGAACTTAACCCTTTGACCCACATCGTAAATCGATTTCTCCATTTGAAATAAATCATCAGCACACTTTTCTCAAACTGTTTTTTTTCCAATTAGTAACGCATTATCTATACCTAACACATTCAATTTCAGAAACCAATCAACTTTTACTCAATAATTAAAATTGTTTTATTTATAAATTTGTTGAAAAAATAAATATTACAAAATAATGTAAGTATTAAAGCCAACAGTTCAGTAGTTTATTGTCAATACGTCACAGATTGCTGAAGAAGAAAAGAGAAGAAAAAAAAGTTTACAATAATCATATTTTGTACTTTAATACTTGTTTAAGAAAGATACAATAATTATTTGATTACAATTATTCCCTGAGTTACGTAAGTAATACGTTCTGTAAACCTTTACGTAAGTCGAATTAGTAAATTACTTAAGTGTTACTTTGTTTATTATTATAAGTATATTATTCTCAGTATTAATTAATATGTAATAATTTTGGTAATGATAGGAAAAAATATTTAAAAAAAAAATTGTGGTTAAGAGTGCCTTAACCATATGTTTTGTATTTCCATCCTTGTCTAGGGGAGTGCTAACCGTCTCTCCTTTCATACAACACGCATTAAAATGTCATGTTTCTTGCTTATAAAGGGAACGTAACTTCTTTTTCAGAAGCATATATTTCATTGAATATTTACTCAAAATTGGTACTATTATATAATTAACTTGGTATTTTGGATTAGTTACTAGAATATTTAAAATATTCTTGTAGAAATTAATTATATTACTATTAACATGTTAATTAGTTTTGTCAAAAATAAAAATAGTCTCTCAGTTACTTGTATGCTTGGTTGCATAATCTTCCAAATTTGGTATTTCTCTGTTAATTATTATAATTAAATATATTGATCGAAGTTTTTATTAATATTGTTTTTAAATAATTAAATTAAAATTTCAATTCTTTCCTTTTTGTAATTATTATTATAAATAAAATTTGTTATTGTTTCTATTTGTTATTATTATTTAAATGAATTGAAAATGAAAGTAATTCATTAGATATTTGTCATGTGTGTAGAAACATGTGTTTTCAATAATAGAAAACCCTTTTTTTTTTCTTCTATATATTATATGTTGCGACGCATTGTACACCTTTCAAGTAACATTTATTAATATTTCAATAGCGCAATCCATAATTCTTTTGTGCTTCTCCACATCTCAACCCCATGAAAATAGAGACATTACAACCTATCCATATATGTATGGGCAGGAGGAGGAAAAGGCCGAGAAGAAAATGTGGGAGACCAACTGTCTAATTTGATAATAACATTGGGGCACGCTTATGCCCCCACACCTTGTCATTCTGTATGCATGCGTGTGTGTGTGTTTGCGTCTGCAGCGGGGGTGGCCCTGTGTGACATTATTATTAAGTGATGTTAACCATCAACTCACCTTGTCCTCACACAAACCGAAACACGAGTCAAGGGTTGCGTTAGGTAAACAGAATCCCTTTACGGACAAGAAGGGACAACGATTAAAAAGTCAAACATCTGCACTTACTGGAACTCGACTCTCCGACATCTATTTTTTTTTGTTCTTCCACTTATCTCTTAAATCCACCCCTTTTTTAACAAATACTTTATTACTAAAGAGAAAACAAACCGCACGTAGCTTCGATGATATTTGAAATTAAAGTATTTTTACGTCCGTTTGTATGTATGTTTATATATTTTTTTTCTATTAATGCAATGTATTGGTTTGGATTCAGTGAAACGCAATCCCTAGAGCAGCAGCTGAACACGTTCCCGAGGCATCTGCATCTCATCTCATATCAACAATTTCCATTCAATCGAAAGCCATTCATAAATAATTCAATGCGCCGCTAATATGAAACAATTTTATTTACCAGTGAATTTGTTGTATTCCTTTGAAAACGTATTTGCTTCAATCGTTATTTACGATCTTCAAGGCATTGCTGAAATTAATATTGAACAATTTCTTTTACTCTGATTGATAAGAGATTTATTGGAGACGCGACCCTTTCTATGATAATGGCCAGATCTGAAAATGTATGCGTCTTCTAATAAATCTCGACGCAGCCTGTAATTACTGAAGTAATTGATGCTTCCTTCAGGTCTTGCAATGCAAACAATGGACGCCTTTGTGCCCATTATGTTGGACAATCCGTTAGTTTGTTCGTGTTTTATCGGGGATGATCAGTGTCGTGTGAAATTTAAGAATATGTTTATCGGAGATATGATCGGAAGGTAGCAGTTCTTTGCTAAAGGGTTGCTTTTTTTACAGGCTCAGTTGGGGCCCTTCACGATCGGTCCGGACAGCTTGTTTTTTTCGTAGGCTGCGACACCTCACAGAACACTCACATTATGTGATCCATTCGACGAGGCACGCCACAGAATTGCGACGGTTACGCTGATCCTAATCTGCTTGTTGCGGCATACACTGTTCAGCCCTTATTTTGCACGACCTTTCATTCAGCTTCGGAATAACTAAATTATGGTCCATTGTTAAAATACAAATGCACTATGACTTAAGAGTTACCATTATAAGTAGAAAAATCAATAAATAATAACAAATTATTATTATTATTCCAATAAAATTTGCAATTAAAACGAAAAGAAACAATAAAAATCAATCCAATTCTTAATGATTTTATTAAATTTTCTGCTCAACATATAACTAAAAAATTGTTATATTCCTTATACAATTCTTTAGAAATTGTTTGTGACCTAAAATAATGAAACTACGATCTTTTTTAGAAATCATGTTAATAATAATGAATTAGGAAATTTGTTACAAAAATAAAATATATTGAATCAACAGTTAAAATTTCGATATACAAAATATTTAAATAATCCGACAAAATATGACAAAAAAATGAAATATAAGAGAAAATATTATCTAAAAAATTAAAAATAATGTAATCCAAGTGTCTAAATCAATAGATTTCGAAATTGTTAATGAAAAATTGAAAAATTTAGAAAATTTTATTAGCAATAAAGTCATAGAAAATATAACAAAATATATTAAATTTTCTGCTCAACATATAAGTAAAAAATTGTTGTATTCCTTATACAATTCTTTAGAAATTGTTTGTGACCTAAAATAATGAAACTACGATCATTTTTAGAAATCATGTTAATAATAATGAATTAGGAAATTTCTTACAAAAATAAAATATATTGAATCAACAGTTAAAATTTTGATATACAAAATATTTAAATAATCCGACAAAATATGACAAAAAAATGTAATATGAGAGAAAATATCATCTAAAAAATTAGAAATGAAGTAATCCAAGTGACTAAATCAATAGATTTTGAAATTGTTAATGAAAAATTTAGAAAATTTTATTAGAAATAAAGTCATAGAAAACATAACAAAATATATGATAAAAACGAAACCACGATACGGATTGTTTTATGTATAAAATAAGTTATAGTTTCTTTTATACAATCAAATTAATTAGAATTTGAGTATTAATAGGGTTTATATTATGAACGAACTGATAAGAAATGATAAGATAGATTTTTGTGGAACGGAACTCCAGCAAAGTTATTGCCGTTTATCGATAAACATGAAAAATATTCAAGTTACTGAAATATGATATCATATTTATTATGTCTCTGTATCCGATCTAGAATGCGGTATTCGAGAATGTCTTCAGAGTGCATAATTAAGATGCCAGGAGGCTGTGAATATATTACGGCTGTACACCATACATCGCGCATGTGGTATTTCATATTTGTAAAATTATGTAATTTGCAGTAGAAAACATTTATCACATACTATTATCAAGTTATAAATTTGAATCGCATAACGTATCGAACGATGACCGAATAATAATTATTGTAGAATTTAATACTAAAAATAAGTGTGAAGTTAAAATATAATTTATTTGAATGTTTCTATTACAAGTTTACCACCTGTATAAATGACATCAGCAATAAAATAAACAAAATTGTAGATGTATATTATATAATTGTAGTATTACTTGTTATGGAATAAAATTTAAAAAAATGATCAAATAAAAATTGTAAATGAAAGAAATCAAATTAATTATTTTAAATTTCCCGCTTAATAATGGTTCTTTTTATGTAGGGTGGTTGTTGTGTTGCAATTTGTTTAGTTGGTAGTACTAGTAAAAACAATTGAAGTTATAATAAACAAAATAACAGTTGTGGGAATTGTAATTGTGTTCTGCATCATTTGAATATACACGCTTGGAACAAAGGTAAGGTGGTATTAATTGATTATTTAGTATTAATTTCTCTGTGTGTTGTATTTACTCATAGCAAAATGGTTCGTCATAATAACGAAATTAGTAACAACCATTTTCACAAGGATTGGCAACGATTCGTCCGATTGCATTTCGATCAACCAATGCAAAAAATCAGACGACGCAATTTACGAGTAAAGAAAGCAAATCGATCAGCGCCTAGGCCGATCAGGAAGCTACGTCCCTTGACGCATTGTCCTACGATCAGGTACAACACAAAGATGCGACTAGGCCGAGGATTCAATTACCAGGAATTGCGAGCTGTCAACTTGCATCCAAACTACGCTATGACAATTGGCATTTCCGTGGACAAACGCAGGCGGTATTCCGCAAATATAGAAGCCAACGTGAGGAGATTGAAGAAGTACCTCAGCAAACTGATCGTTTTGCCTGATGGAAGGGCGGAAAAAGAGCAACTTGCGAGGACAGCCGAGGATATATTTCCCAAAAGACGTGCTTCTGTTCCAAAAGCCATGGATTTGGAAAAAGCCAAGTTGTTGGCTTACGAGACTAAGCAAGTCAGGTTGGATATAAAGAAGGAGAAGAAAAGGAAGGCCAAGAAAAACAAGATCGAGGATAATATTATTTAAGTTATAAATACTTTTATATAGTAAGTAATATGTTTATTTATTGAGAGTAGATTTGAAGATGAGTTTTTGTTTAGATTAGTTATTAAATGTTTGATTTTAATTGAATAAAACCAAATATGTTCAAATTCAAGTATTTTTTTCCTTAACTTCATTTACTTGAGTGTTGTAAATAACTCACTTTAATATATTTTTAATTTAATTTATTTTTTTTAATGATGACTATAAATTATTACATTCTTCTACACCCACAAGATTAATTAAAAGATTAATATCTTTTCAACGAGAATTACCTTTTGATATATTATAAAAATATTATTGAAACCAGATATTTTGCTAAACTAAAACATTATACTCATAATAATTGGATAAACTTAAGTTAACTTTTAAAAGAGTTAACATTCATAAAATTTAATGATATTATTGCATCTATGATGAATCTAAGGATTTGGAAGACAACTGATATTCCAAGTCTAGTTTCATAAGTATTTTTCTTTTCATTCATAATAACTAATTCATATTTTGAAAACATTGTAACCTTCAGCTATCCAAAATAATCCAAGATTGAACGAGTTGAGTGTTTTTTCTAACATTATAAATAAAAAATAACATCCAATACATTTTAGGTAATATGTTTCGTGTTGAAATTAAATGAAAATGGGAAGTAGAAATAAATAAAATGTTATATAATTTTAATGGAATCACGTTGCTTTTTAATGATTGGGATTGGTCTATCTGTGTAATAATAATAAGAGGAGGAAGGGAAAAAAATATGGAAGAAGTGAATGCGTCGGAGCTTCTTCGTGTGTAATAAAATTCCGATCGTTTGGCCTCTTTGACCCGTATCTATTAACTGTGGTAATCTGTGATAAAGGAAAAGTCAATTAGTCGCCTATGAAGACTATATATATATATATAGATAGATAGAGAGAGGTGAAAAAGAAAGAAAGAAAAACCCTAGCAATAATTGCCTCTTATCGGCCAATTTCTTTGGATCGTTGGAGGCCGCGCACTTCTTGCCACGTTCCTCCTTATCTTTGAAATTAGCACCGCGCATGGATTGATGGGGACTATTAAGGAAATTGGTTGCACCTAACCCTAGGTTTGGATGGTTTGTCTCTCTCTCTCTCTCTTCACTTTTTCTACCGCGTCCCCCACAATTCGCACCGGAAAGATCCCATTGTTCCCACAATAAATAATATCATCCCGCGCCAGGAACAGTGTAACAATCAAACGAGAGTGGCCACTGGACGAGTGGAGGAGAAAAGTTCACCTCCGCAGGAGGCCAGCATATTGGTACGAATCCGAGGGGGCTGATTGCTACACGCTGTACGCAACAGTCACCCTTAGTCGATACTCGCTTTAGGCGATCGCTCGGCCAACCCCCTTCGGAGCGCATTACATAATACACTGTAAATGATTCACTTTTGTTTTTTGAAGTGGTATAAACAATGGGTAACTAGAAACCACTGTTTAGTGAGCAATAAATATCAAAAGGACACACACACATACGTACGTATAGGCGTCGTGGGAATCTCCGACTCGCAATATTTTTTCCGCGCCATTGTTTTGATCATTTCGCTAACGATATTGTAATTTAAGATGGCCTTTGTCCTCCTATACAGTTACACATTCTCCGCCTGGAATAACAAACCCATTTACCTCTAGCACCCTTCAACAAATATTGTCTTAAATACTCTCTCACTCGGCCTTATTATTTCAACTTCCGAAACAATAACTTAAGACAATTACATTAATACCGGTAATTTTCACGAACAAAAGCTTTGCATAATAGACCTTTTACTACCTGTGTACTCACAATTTTCACCTGAGTCTTTTATGAACACAAAGCACTACATAAAAATATACAATAACGAATAATTCAAGCAAATAACTTTAAAAACTGTGAAGTCCTGAAAGATATTCATTAAAGTAATTAGATCCTACTTATATTTTGACGTTCATTTGGTACAAATAAAAATACGATTTGCAACAAAATTGTAATCTTTCAGAAATAGGGAATGATGAAGAAGAGGAAAAAGTTATTTTCTTAAGGCTTTGGTCTAAGATATTGTCTAGAACAAATGCAATCATAATTAGCTGAAAGAACTGAACATGAAGAAGTACAGTAATCAAACTTTTGAAGTAATTGTAAAATGTTAAATATTATTAATAAATGTTTCAAAGTAGGACAATTTTTTTTATACGAGTAATAGAAATAAAGAAACCAAAGTTGTACATTGTTATAAATTGCGTTATTTAGTCAATGATTGTTGTTTGTATGTGTTCACATACTGATTTTAATATATAATAAATAATTTCATAACTTGTTTTACTGGCGCATCTAAAAATAAGACAATTCGCCATAAAAACAATTTTGTATCGTACATAATATATTCCGTCTCCGAGCTATGGTATTTCCAACAATAAACAAAATAAATATGAGTTTATATAAGCATTAAAGAAAATTTATCAACGCCGATAAATCGGATACATTCGACGGCAACAGCAACAACAGAAAAAAAAATCATTGGAATTGAGGCTTTTATTTTATAAATTTAAGTATAGCCCTTTCTTGGAAGAGTTATGTGGTTGCAATACTCTGAGCTTATATTGGCGTGCACATATATTCCGTACATTCTTCAAGATTTTTATTGTAAATTAGAGTAGCAGCTGGCGGTATCAAGGGCTGTAAATCACTAAATAAACTAGTTATTCTATTGCGGCCATTTATCTTGAATGGAATAAACAACGCCGCTATAACAATCCAAAGGTGCGTTCGCTTTAAATATATTTCACCACTAATACGATTTAAATTAATTCATTTGCATACGTTCCACTTTATTTTAATGAAATTATCACAGAAACGTTTGTGTCTCTATTAAGGGTTGATCGTAAATAATCTAGTTAAAAAAAGGGCTAAGAATAAAAATAAAAAGAACTGGGACACATCAGAGCATTCAGAGCGTGGAAGAGGTACGTTTATTACCCACAATAATTTAGGAAACACAAAGAAACCTGTATCCGTTTATTTAGTTTTCGTTCATCGCCACCCCTCGTTAGCTTTATATAATATGTGTGAAACGCGTAATAAAATTGTGCGCAAGGAAGATTTCCGCGACGCAGGAGGTGGTCCCTTTTTTTTGCATTGATGTTGTCACCAAACATTCTATTCTTTGCGCAGAGTTTATGAGCAATAAAGTCACAACCCGGGCTACCTATCCAATCCTGTGTCGTACCAATCCCTTTTGTCTAACTAGTGATAAAATTTTATGACCGAAAAGGGGTAATGTTACGCGCATTTGCATAACATCGGTGGTGCTTGCTGGTATCGATTAATTGGAATCTTTCACGTGCGAAGTGAACAGGACGACTCTCGAACCGAACCAATACGAAACATGTTACAGCAACACTACATTATTTGAAACTGGACTCGATCTGACCGCACTAATCGTAATTGGATTATGTCGAGCTTGTAAGCGTTTAACACTCCACCATAGATTATAATTATTTATTTTAATGTTTTGTCAATATTATTTATTGCAGGTATAATTAAGAACAAAACAATCTTTATATATGTTAGTTACAAGTAGTTGATTAATTTGACAAAAATACTTAACTTTTTAGCTTTCAACCCATTTCTGCCAATACTTACTAAATTTGATATTTTTAATCAACATATATAGAAATTATGTGTTGGAAAGATTTAAAAACAAATTATTAATTTTAAAAGGCAGCTGTCATTCAGTTAATTATATTCACAATTTACAAAATTTAAACTTGATAATACTCGAATATATTATTTATTACTAATATAGTTTATGATTTGCACATAAATATTTACTAATTGTTACTAATATTTACCATAATTTTTGCATGTAAAATAAAATATTCAGAAACATACATAATAATATTAATTGCAATTTAGTACAATTATTAAAATAAAGCTTCTCTAATACACTAAAACTACTAAATTAGAACAAATATCTACAATCAAACAGAAATAACAGCTTTATTTATCTTTATTATTATGAATATGATAAATAAATAATATTTATTTTCAATTATATTGAAGTTATTTATACTCTTTCCAACTGTGCTATACAATTTGTCAAATAATAACATTAAGACATCATTATTGATGTTTTCAGTATTTACTTATCTACCGAAGTCGGTCAATTTGATCTATTGGAAACTTATCAATATATATTTCTTTAAATTAAACAATCAATATAAATGAAGCAGATTGAGATTTTTATGAGATAAATAGACTCAATGATACATGTATATGATTTTTGGGAAATATCAGATTCTACAGGTTGTGATAAACTATATATGATGAGAGTAAGGAAGTCTGAAACATATAACTTGCTTTTAAGGTCATTTTGATAACCGTTTCGGTATGATTATCTATAAATGCAATGTCGGTACTTGCAGTGCTAATAAGAATTAGTAGTTTTAATATTCTTAGTAAAGTTTAAGCAATATAAAAGAAATTATTTATTAAGTTCTTTCTTTTTTTTTGTCAGTTAATCAATCAAGTTATAATACCAAACATTATATTATAGTTTAAATACATCTGACCAAAAGGGTTATCAAGAATTATATTATATATTTATTTACAAATTTTTATTAACTTTAATTTGATATTTCTGCCAGTGAACTAATTTCCTCACTAAATAAATAATATAAATGAATAATGTGTTTTCATAGAAGCAAACTCAAGTTTTACAAAATTATGGAAAATCAATTGAAAACTAAATTTAAATTTGGACATTAATGAAACATTTAATGACTAATTATTCCAATTTTCCTTTTGATAGTATTACTTAACTTAATTGTTTGTTAGAAACGTTTTTCATGAATCTGTTTATTTTGTCATTGGCTTTCATTAATCATTGACTATATAAAATGCATATTGTTGTATTAAGATTTACTGAATTTATTTGCTTTTGATTCATGGATCATCATTATATTCGTTAGATTAAAAGGAGAAAAAAAAC